AAGGTATCATTGTGAACATCAGAGCAAGGGAAGTTAGCGCCAGACCTCCTCTGTGACTCTAAACTGGTAACCTGTAAAGGCTTTTAAAGCATAACCTATGGAGATTTTAGGTACCATAGTTTGGTGCCATTCCCCAGACATACACAATTTTAAAGTGTGACATGTTTGGTATCTATTTACTCAGCATGACATCATCTTTTATATATTTTTTTAAACAAATGGGAATTATCATGTGTTTTTGTGCATTAAAATGTATTAAAGTGTATTTTTTCCAAAACATTTAATAAATATCGCAAATATCGTGTGACACAAAAATATGCAACACCAACTATTTTATTCCCTAGGGCCTCTGCTTAAAAATATATATAATGTTTAGGCATTCTAATTAGTTTTCTAGCAAGAAAAAAATGTGTTTTACATGTAGGAAAGGCATGTCAGAATTGGCCCTGACTGGAAGTGGTTAAAGTGAATGACTAGTGTGTCAATAGTGGGCAGGTACCACTTATTAATAACTTTGCTTACAAAGGGAAAGGGCTCCTTCACATTGCCAACAGAGTCCAATGACTCCATAGGTTGTTTCTAGTCCTTGCAGCAGAAGATTTTAAACACTGAGGTATTGGGAAGGTCTTTGCAGGCCTAAGAGCTCTAAAAGACCATATACCTGGAACAACCGTAGCAATTACATTAGAATAACTAAGTCATATAGAATTTTCTGAAATAGAATGGACCATCAATCTGAATCAGGCACGCTTAGAGTTGAAGGCTCAGTAGGATCAGAACTAGGCTCTGCCATGGATGGCGCTGGTGTAGACTTAGGCCTGTGCAAGCAGATTGCTCCATTAAATGTGCACAAACCAACAAAAAAAGGTGGATATTGTGGGTTTGATTTACTAAAACTGGAGAGTGCAAAATCTGGTGCAGCTCTGTAGACTCCTATAGGTGTACCGCTACATAAATAAAATGCTCCTAAACATAACAGAAATAAAATAGCAGATCTCTTTGAAAAAGTAACACAGTATATGCATCAGAAAACATTGAAAGGTTTGGGAAATAGGGCCACCTTCTGCACAATCGATCAGAAACTTTAGGTGGATAAATGCTGCTAACACTTATGCCTGCAAAAGATGAAAGATGCAACACTTTTAGTTCCTGCCACTACTTGTTTATGTGTTTCTGAAATTGACCTTTCTTTATCATCCATTGAGAGTCACAGGATTTGTAGAAATTCTTAAACAGTCAGGTTATACTGCCGCCTTTGGGAGGTTGGGTCGCTGGCAAACAAAAAAAAAAACATTATAGTAGAAGTATAGGCAAAACTTCTTTTTTTTTCATTTTGGATAGAGTAAGGGAGGGTTGTAACCTCTGTCAGCTTATTTTTTTTGCCATCTGTTCCATTGGGGAGATTTACCTTCACCGACTGTCCCATAGCCAAAACAGGAAGTGAAGGAGAATCCCTGAAAATTAAGGGAATTCCTTGGGGACCCCCAGGTCACAACTAGTGTCCCTATTGGAAAATTTTTCCTTTTTTACTTTTCTGGGGACAATTAAAATTTTGAGATTTCTTTTACTTTCAGAGAGGGTGAATTTCTGTAAAAAGGTAACAGACAGCAATAAAAACCTGAAAAGGTGTTCTAATCCATTGCCTTTAGTTATACTTTAAACGAGCCCCCATATAACTCTACCTCCAACCATCATGTTTTTGCCAGTGTTCTACATTCTTCTTGTTTTTCAACTGGGGTGCAATTTGGGTTCACCCAGGGTCCCATGAGCAAAGGATTAGCATCGTGAGTTGCCATTTTATGAGTAGGCTGCAAATTGTAAATAAAAGAGAGAAGTTTGCAAGGTGTCATACACCTTGTTGGACTTAACCTCCTGTAAGCCAGCACATTTTATAAAGTGGCAAAATTCCTTTAGTTCAGCTTTAACCTCCCTGGCAGTCTGATTATTTCAGATTTTTGGTGCTGAAAGCGGTACCATTATTTTGCATGGAAATATGTATTTTTTTATTGTAGGCTATAATTTTTAGGACTAACTCACTGAAATCTGTCCGAACAAGAGTCTAGTAAACATTCCGGATATGATAAAACTTGAAACACAAAATCATAAATTATTTTTTTTAATAAATAATCATAAAAAATAATAATTTTAATTCAATGATATAATCAAACCAAAAACACTGAAATTTGAAATAGAGCGCCAAGTTCGCATATCGCTGAGCAAAGTCGCAGAATCGTTTTCATTGTCTGATGACGAATTTCCCCACGAATCACTATCACTCAATTCTGCAAGTGGTTCTGATTTACTATCACTGTTCTCTAGCTGGTCTAAAACTGCTTTTGACCTAAAGGGACACTTTTTGGACGCCATGGACTTTTCTAAGTTTCCAGGCAGAAAGAACAGTCAAAATGCAGGTAGGGCACAGGACAAAGCAGTAGGGTTAAAAATGTATTTTCACATACATTTCACATTGTTTGAAACAGCAATGTTTTACTATGTAATATTCGTTTAAAAATTTTAAAAAATGTAATTTTTTTGTAAATTTGCCGCCGGTTACGGCCGCCGTACGTCCCGACGTCACAGGGACCGGAACACGGAAGCCAGATGCCGGCATCGGGCCAGAGGAGATGGCAAGGGACGCATCGCGGGAGCGAAGGACAAGGTAAGCGCTGTAGGGACTTCCTGAGCAACGCCGCATGGTAAGCCCGAGTGTAGCTCGGGGTTACCGCTCTTGGTACTGAAATTTTATCCCGAGCTACACTCGGGAATACCGCCAGGGAGGTTAAGATGTGCTGCTTTAGCTAGTTTCTACACACCAGCTATATAGAGTGATATATCTTCAACAATAGCTTTGGAGGCCATACCCCGACCTTTCTAAGGAGAAAACAGTCTCACTGCAGCAGGTGACCTCAGTTCATACTCAGTACATACTCCTGGGGGCAATTCCTCTCTATCTCTAAATGCCTGTACTCAAGATCCTGGGCCCCTTATTACTATAGGAGTGTCTTCATTAGTGACTTTTATAGCTCTGTTTTGGGAGGATGAGACCTTTCCTGTGCTCACAAGACCCCTTGGGGATGATTTACTCAAACTGGAGAATGCAAAACATGGTGCAGCTGTGCATGATAGTCAATCAGCTTCTAAATTCAGCTTATTCAATTAAGTTTTGACAATAAAAAAAATGGAAACTGCATCAGAGCTATGCACAGCTGCCTATTTGCCTTTCTCCATACACATGTTCCAGAACCACCCAGAAAGTTCTTGAGTGCAGGAGAAGCAATCAAACCTGCAGCATGTTAAACGCTTTAGCGCCGCCCCATAGCAGATATACTGCTACAGGGCAGCAGCTGTGTGCAAAATCATGTGTATATATACAGTTGTGTTCAAAATAATAGTAGTGTGTTGAAAAAAGTGAATAAAGCTGAAAATCCTTCTAATAGCTTTTATTTCCATACACACAAATGCATTGGGAACACTACACATTCTATTCCAAATCAAAACATGAAGAAAAATATATCAAGTTTGTGTTGTACCTCTAAAAAAAGGTGATTATTAGACTGTTCAAAAAAAATAGCAGTGTTTGTATTCTTCTTTACAAACTCAAACATTCACTATATAAACTGAAAAATGTTTGAAGATTTTGCTTTCCTTTGAATCACTTAATATTTAGTTGTATAAGCACTGTTTCTGAGAACTGCTGTACATCTGTGTTGCATGGAGTCAACCAACTTCTGGCACCTGTGAACAGATATTCCAGCCCAGGATGATTGGACTACATTCCACAGTTCCAGTTCTTCTCTATTTCTTGGTTTTGCCTCAGAAACTGCATTTTTGATGTCACCCCACAAGTTTTCTATTGGATTAAGATCCGGGGATTGGGCTGGCCACTCCATAACGTCAATCTTGTTGCTCTGGAACCAAGATGTTGCACGTTCACTGGTGTGTTTGAGGTCGTTGTCTTGTTGGAACACCCATTTCAAGGGCATTTCCTCTTCAGCATAAGGCAGCATGACCTCTTCAAGTATTCTGATGTATTCAAACTGATCCATGATCCCTGGTATGCGATAAATAGGCCCAACACCGTAGTATGAGAAACATCCCCATATCATGATGCTTGCACAACCATGCTTCACTGTCTTCAGTGTACTGTGCCTTGAATTCAGTGTTTGGGGGTCGTCTGACAAACTGTCTCCGGCCACTAGACCCAAAAAGAAAATCTTACTTTCATCAGTCCACAAAATGTTGCACCATTTCTCTTTAGGCCAGTCAATGTGCTCTTTGGCAAATTGTAACCTCTTCAGCACGTCTTTTTTTCAACAGTGGGACTTTGCGGGGGCTTCTTGCAGATAGCTTGGCTTCACATAGGCGTCTTCTAATTGTAACAGTACTCACAGGTAACTTTAGACCTTCTTTGATCTTCCTGGAGCTGATTGTTGGCTGAGTCCTTGCCATTTTGGCTATTCTTCTATCCATTCAAATGGTAGTTTTTCGCTTTCTTCCACGTCTTTCAGGTTTTGGTTGCCATTTTAAAGCATTTGCGATCATTTTAGCTGAGCAGCCTATCATTTTCTGCACTTCTTTATATGTTTTCCCCTCTCCAATCAACTTTTTAATCAAGGTACGCTGTTCTTCTGAACAATGTCTGGAACAACCCATTTTCCTCAGAATTTCAGAGAGAAATGCACTGTAACCAGCATGTACAACATTTGCTGCCTTCCTTCCCTAAATAAGGGCAATAATTGGCACCTGTTTTTCAAAGAATGAATGACCTCACTAATAGAACTCCACACTGCTATTTTTTTGAACATGCCCCTTTCAATTAGTGATTCAATTACACAGAATCAGCAGCATGCATGTCTGACTGTTGGGTCTGTTGGATTTCTATTACTCTACTACACCTGCTAGTAAATTATTTGCCATGTAGAAATATCATTTCTACCAAAAACAGTGATTGATCAGGTTAGTGATGTCTGACTGCTATTATTTTTGAACACAACTGTACGTGATTTTGCATTTCCGGGTAGGGGGCGTGCGCAAGCTGAGCGCACGCCCTACCCGCGCCGCCGTGGCTGCCAATCACTGGGTCCCAGCTGGTGACAACTCGCCGGCACCCGATGATTGCCGAGCATCTTCGACAGGGGGGAGAACTGTTTGTAAAACAAAACAGTTCACTCCCCTGTCTGCTCCTGCACACAGCTTGCATGACTGCGCATAGTACAGCCATGCAAAGCAGTGTGCTTACAGTGAAGCACTAACACAGCACACTTAGTAAAACAGCACACAGTTAACCCTTTGATCACCCCTCATGTTAACCCCTTCCTGCCCAGTGCCATTAGTACAGTGTCAGTGCTTGCTTTTAATTAGCACTGATCACTGTATTGGTGTTACTGGGGATGTCAGTGACACCAAGTCAGTTCCCCCCAGTGTCAGAATGTCCACCCCAGACCTGCTATAAGTCGCTTATCTCCACCAGTAAAAATAAAAAATAAATGCCCAGTATACACCACCATTTGTAAATGCTATAACTTTCATGTAAACCAATTAATTTGCACGTATTGGGATTTTTTTCAGCAAAGATATATAGCAGAATACATTTTTGGCCTAAATTTATGACGAAATTAGTTTTTTTTTTTAAAAAAATTTTTACTGGACATGTTTAACCACTTGCCAACTGCGCTATAGCCGAATGATGGCTACAGCGTGGTTGTCCAGTCCTGCGTTGACGTTATTCCAGAACGCACCCTGTGATCTCCGTGATTGCTGCGTCCTATGGACACAACTGATCATGTGCTGTGGTAAAAGGCCAATCACAGCGGCCTTTTACCATGTGATCAGCCTTGTCCAATGACACAGAAGATCACCAGTAAATGCAGTTGCTGGTTATCGGCTGCACTTTCCTCACACTGTACTGCCGGTAACCGGCAACTGTCAGAAGATGGATCGGCACCTATCATCAGGGCACTGATTATCAGTGCCCTGATGATTGGTGTCCAGCAGTGCCATCCACCAGTGCCACCCACCTGTGCACCCAGCAGTGCCACCCACCTGTGCCCAGCAGTGCCTAGTAGTGCCACCCCACCTGTGCCCAGCAGTGCCACCTAGCAGTGCCCCCCATCAGTGCCACCCATCAGTGCCGCCAGTCAGTGCCACACATCAGTGCCCATCTGTGCCGCCTATCAGTGCCCATCATTGTTGCATATCAGTGCCGCCTATCAGTGCTGCCTATCAGTGCAGCCTCATCAATGCACATCAGTGAAGGAGAAAAATGACCTGTTTGCAAATTTTTATAATAGAAACAAAAAAAAACTTTTTTTTGTTCAAATTTTTTGCTCTTTTTTTTGTTTATAGCGCAAAAAATAAAACACCCAGTGGCAAGAAAATACCACCAAAAGAAAGCTCTATTTGGGTAAAAACAATTATAAAAATTTAATATGGGTACAGTGTTGCATGACCACGCAATTGTCAAAGTGCGACAGCACTGAAAGCTGAAAATTGGCCTGGACAGGAAGGGGGTATAAATGCCCGATAGGCAAATGGTTAATAGCAAAAAGTAAAAAATATTGTTTTTTTTTTCTCAAAATTGTCGGTCTAAATTTAGTTTGGGTGCAACGTTGCATGACAGTCCTAAAACAATCACAAACAGCCACACTAATTACAGTGAGCCCCAAACTAAATGTACCTAATCCTAGCACCTAACTAGGAAGATGCTACATTTATATAACAATTGACAGGGTAAAAGGGTTAAGAGATCCAGCATGAGAAGTTTTGTTTTTCTGTGGTAGACATTTGATGTTGTAACTTTGTTTTTGTACTCAGAGCGCTTTTAAGCATAAAGCGTGTCCTTATTCTGTGTTCTGGATCCTGCTGTTTGTTTATCTACGGCTTGACCTCTGCCATTGTGAGGCTCAGCATAGCATGCATTACATCAAGTTTACAGACTACATGCTTGCTTGTGGCCTCGGTATTATACTTCAGTTATCTACATGTCAGCTTTCACCACCAATAAGATCCTAGTCACACCTAAGCGTTTTTTTAGCTTGAGCCTGGGTTCACACTAATGCGGTGCGGAATTTGCAGCATTTTCTGTGCAAATCCTGCAACACATCAGAATTGCACCCCGTTCATGCGAACCGTTGCGGGTGTGTATGTTAAGTTAACAACACCCCGAAATCGCTCCGCAGAACGCGGTGCGATGTGCAGAATTGGACTGTATGGGTGTGAATACCCATGCGATCCGATTCTAGTGCGGACAAAAAAAAGGGTCCTGCGGTGCGATTTGAGCCATACAAAATGTATGGCTTCATTCACACTGCACACAATTCACATGTGATTTGCACAGGAATGTGGTGGGGTTCCTGCGCGAATCACATGCAATATACCATACCGCATATGTGTGAACCCAGCCTAAAGCTCCAAAACACTTAAAGCAGAGCTCTACCCAAAAGGGGAAGTTCCGCTTTAAGCCTTTGTCCCCCGCTCGCTCCCCATTAAGGATTGGCACGTTCAGGGAATGGGGGGGGGGCGGGTACCTGAATTTGACAGGTACTCTGTCCCACTTCCCCCCTCCCTCCCTCCCTCCCCCCCGTAGTCTTCTGGGACATGTGACAGGTCCCAGAAGACTACGGGGCCATTCACAAAGTGCAGCGCTTCTCACCCATGCGCAGGGGGCATCCAGCAGTGAAGCTGCAAGCTGTCACAGCCGGGTGCCCACACTGAAGATGCCGGAACCAGGGAGAGAAGACAGCCAGTGAAACCAGTGGTGGTGAGGACACTGCTGGACCAAGGGACAGGTAAGTGTCTGTATTTTAAAAGTCATCAGCTACAGTTTTTGTAGCTGCTGACTTTTTTTTCAGGTGGAACTCCGCTTTAACATCCAAAATCCCATGCTTTTCAGTTGTCACCCACACCTGTGCTTTGTGTTGCTCAAAAAAGTTAATGAGCTTTTCTTGACCTACATGCTTCAAGCTTAAAGCATTTATGGCCCCATTAGATTATAATGTAAATGCCTGAAAATGTTAATTAAAAAAAGGATAAAAATAAACCCGTACATTTTTTAAAAATATTTTTTAATTTGAATTACATATATAATGCCAACAAATTATGAGTATATATTGTACATTTACATCAGTCCTGCCCTCAAGACAATAAAAGGTAAATAACCAAAGACACTCAACTTACGTGCGAATGCAGCCTAAGACCAAACTGAAGGCTGCAGGATCAAGCAACAAAAAAACCAAATGCCAACTGGTGATGAACTCAGTGCCTGACCCCTGCCCTTCCCAACAACTCATGACAAAGGACCTCCCAATCTCACACCATGTTGTCACCTACATAAGAATGCCACTCTCAGCTGCACCCAGCACAAAGATTTTCCAGCTTGCGGGACCACAATCTGGGTGCCAGCAGCCTGAGAGCGATTGTCACTGGGTTAAGTTAACAAAGCAATTAACTCTTTACCACTGCCGCCTTTTGTCAGGGAAGAAGGGAAACTCATAATCTTAGCAATAACAAATGTGAAAAATAGCAGCTGTTCACACACTGTCAGCACAGACAGGTATATTCAGAGATTTGTCATATACAGTCACACTCTTCAAGAGACCAGGATTCTTTTAATTTACATTAAAAGCCTTAGGGGCAGTTTAACACTTTTCAGAATAGGGTTAAATGATGAAAAGGTCAAAATGGTGCAAATAAAAAAAGATGTTATAAGGAAATAAAGAGAACAGTAAAGCGACAGAGAACTAGAGTTGAAAATGAAGAATACTTGCAAAGCCCTTGGTTTTACCACAGTCCAATTGTCCAAGCAAAAATTGTGCCATGGTTAAGTGTTCCTTGGTTGATGTTAAAATGGGAGCTATCAAATCTGCTTGCAATATTTTTTTTATCTGACATCAAGGGGGGTATTGACAAACCACCTGACCAATCATCCGGTTTAAAGGGTGGGTGCTGGGAGGTCATCACGTTTATGACCAAGTCCCAAATGCAGTTTTATACTAATGTTAATATCTTCCGTTATGTACAGGTTGCATTCTGGAAACTTGTAGATTACTGTTCAACATTATATTTCATGTCCAGGGATACCAGAGTATTTCTGATGGGTCTGTCACCCAGGAGATAGGAGACTGCTTTCTCCCCTTTTGTATGTGCTAGCTTAGTCATGTACACTCACCGGCCACTTTATTAGGTACACCTTGCTAGTGCCAAGAAAATATTCCCTACACCACTATACCGCCACCAGCCTGAATCGCTGATACAAGCAGGATGGACCCATACTTTTATATTGTTTACGCCAAATTCTGACCCATCTGAATGTCGCAGCAACCAGTTTGCCCATTCTCTGACCTCTGACATCAAAAAAGGCATTTTCGTCTTTTTCAGGACCATTCTTTGTAAACCATAGAGATGGTTTTGCGTGCAAATCCCAGTAGATCAGCAATTTTTTAAATACTCAGACAAGCCCATCTGGCACCAACAACAATGCCACATTTAAAGTCATGTAAATCCCCTTTCTTCCCAATTCTGATGCTTGGTTTGAGTTGCTGCCATGTGATTGCAATTGATGATTAGCAATTTGTGTTACCAAGCAATTGTACAGGTCTACCTAACAAAGTGGCCAGTTAGTGTATATGGTGAACATACAGTATCCCCTCTTATTTGCCTCTTTGAGAGAGAGAGCTCCTCCATGCCTCTTATCAGTTTGAATGCCTTTCTCTTCACTTTTTCCAATCTCTGCTATTGTTTTGGTGAACTGGTGTCTATAGAGATTTTAATACAAGAAAGTATTTTTCTAGAAACTGTAGTCTATGATCCACCAGAACACCCAGATTCTTCTCAACCATTGACTCCCCCAGTTCTTCTCATCCTAGTGTGTATGCTGCATGCATGTTTAAGCCCCCAAGTGCAAAACCTTACCCTTAACCTTTATCAACACTGAACCTTGTGACAGACCGCCTGGCACCCCACGTGGGTGCTTCCATCACAGAATTGCTTCCTCGCCGCTGGGACACAGGACCAAGGTATTATAGCTGGTTATTGCACCCAAGGACTAGACAACACTAGCTTAGGTGCAACTGGAACTCTTTATTGAACATAAATACAGGTTTTTATACACTTCAGAAAAAGGGGCAGTCCCCCACATGAACAATAAAAACAAATGTTGAACATTGGGATATACATCCCACTCGGATTAGGTAACGAGATCAAGTTGACACAAGACTAATCCTAACATGTAGGAACCTCCAGGAGAACTAGCCAAAAGAGAGAAACAATAGATGACTCAATTAACTTAATTAACAGTGGAACAAAGACACAAGGGTAAACACATCACACCTTAATAAACTGATTGCAGCAAGAGACTTCAGCATCAGGTTGCTTTGAGTTGATTATATTAACACCTGCTTAGAGTATCTGAGTATAATTTTTTTCACACAAATAGAGCTTTCTTTTGGTTTTATTTAATCATCACTGGGTGTTTTATTTTTTGCGCTAT